TCTTCTTACAATTTCCTGTGAAAACCACAATAGATGCTGTGGTGACAAATAACAACTCCAAAGCACTGGAACTGTCAACATCCCCCCTTTCTTTCATTGGAGAATGGAATTAAACCAGATTTTATAGAGGTTGGTGGAGAGGGGGGCTATGCCTTCTAATACCATAATACATCTGTTTTATTTCATTTCCCATTGAAAATAAATGGGACATCTTTTTTCATTAAGTTTATTTTCTGCTAGACTTCAGACAGATAATTTGGGAAGAGGGACTAGATAAGGAATCAGAAGAACCACATGCCATTTTGCCTGTCCCTGTTCTACAATATCTTTACATTAGCATGATTTTTCCAATGTAGTTTTAAAGAAAGAAGATTACTTTGGGGCTTAACCTAAAAAGTTCTCTTTAACTGAATATGACTGGTTTTAAGAAGTTGTTTTCACTTCTGAAACCTGAGTAGTTATTTTGCTTCATGCTCTCTGCACTGATTTGTATGTTACTTGAGAAGATAGATTTCCTAAGCCTCCTGTAAGCTTTTTCTGGATGGTATTTTGTTCAAGCAATAAATAAATCAGATGACGTGTATGTACTGCTGTGTTTGCTTGTTCTTGACCTTTGCTTTTCAGACGTGTAAGTGATAGCCCTTTACACATGGTGTTGTGTAACCAAGAATTCACGTGATAATTGCATTCCTTAATTTTATCAGATATTTTCAATAAAGTTTGATCGTTCAACTTCACATTTTACATCATAATCTTTTGCATGTTTGCATGGAAATAAGTCCTATTAAAGTCAGTGAGGAATTCCTGAGAAAATATAGGATCATGCCACAAATGTATTGCATCCAAAGCAGACAGTACAATTTCTAATATCTATTTTATGTTTGCTTATTGAACTTTATATGACAGTTAAACAGTGGAACAGCTTGCTGTCAGAAGTTGTGGGTGCTTCATCACTGGAGGTTTTTAAGAAGAGACTGGACATCCACTATCTGAAATGTTACAGGGGCTCCTGCTTGAGCATGGGACTGGACGAGAAGATCTCTAAAGTCTCTTCCAGATCTATTCTGATTGATCGATTATATTTTCATCTTAAAATATTGCCCAAGAACCATCAGTAAGAAAGCAGTAGACGTGCTTCTTACCAGTCTAAGATTCAAGTAAAACATTACAATAGAGTGGCTGTAATTAATCTGTGTTCTGCTTTTTTATCATTTGCATATGATATGCCAGATACATTTTCTTATGACACACTTCACATTTTAGTAAACCATCTGGAGTCTCGGGAAGTGGGTAGTGTAGGAATATATGAAAATAAATACACTTCTCATTCTGTATCATTGGATGCTACAGGTAGGGGGTGGAGAGCTAACCTTTTGCTGTAGTAAAAAATTTGCAGTCATTGATGAGTTTAAGTGGTCTGTAAAAGACAAAGCAGAAAGTCAGAAGCAAGTATAGCTAATGATGTAAGCTTTTACATTTTAGAAGATTTAATAGCAAATATGAGGTTATTTGAAGTATTCTTTGGACTGGATTGATGCCTTCAGCTTTGAAAGGTTTTGAAAGAGGTCAGGTGTCTACCAGGTGCTACTGCCAGCAGAGACAAGAAGCGTATTCTTAAGATAGTCAAGAATGCCAGTAAGGACTGTGATGTTGATGCTATTATACATCTTGGTACAAATGATCTGTCCCAGAAGGATGTACTGTTTGTTCAGAAAGACTTCCAGAGTTTGGGGTATGAACTTAGTAATATGGGCTGTAGGCTTATCTTTTCAGAGGTTCTAGCAGTATACAAGGAACAAAAAGGGAAAGGGCAGCGTGTAGCAGAGTTTAATGTGTGGCTAAAGGAGTGGTATAAAAGGGAAGGCTTTGGTTTTATTAGTCATGATGTCTGCAGCTGGTCCAATGAAAAACTGTACAAAAGAGATGGTTTGCATCCATCAAAGAAAGGGACTGAGTTACTTGGCATTAAATTCACAGATTTCCTGGATAAACGTTTAAATAGCGGGGACAGAGAATTAATAGATACAGAACATTTCTGTCCCCAGCAACCTAAAATTAATAAGGATATCAGTGCATGCAAAATAGATGTTTGTGCAGGTAAGATTATCAACCTTGCTGTCAACCAAAACCAAGCATTTAATAGTGAGTGCCATACCACGTGCATTAATCAAACAGGTGGCAAGAAAGTACGGGGAGGCAGGCACAACACAGGTTATGTAGACAGTAAACACAGTGTCAGACATAAAGATCTCAAGTGCTTACATACAAATGCACAAAGTCTGGGGAACAAACAGGGTGAACTCGAACTACGAATACATGAAGGTAGATATGATATAGTTGGAATAACAGAAACTTGGTAGGATGAAACCCATGATTGGAACTTACTGGTAGAAGGATACAAACTATTCAAAAAAAACCAAACCTCATAAAAGAGGAGGTGGAGTTGCACTGTATGTAAAGGACCACTATATTTCTACAGAAATGCATGAAACCAAAGATGAAAACCTCCTAGAGTGCATATGAGTCAATATAAAAGAAAAAAAAGAATGACATGGCCATAGGTGTGTATTATAGGCCACCCAATCAAGCAGAAAATATAGATGTCCTTTTTGCCAGCCAACTAACAAACATATGCAGGAAACACACAACAATAGTAATGGGAGACTTCAATTATCCTGATATCAATTGGAAAACTAATTCTGCACCAAGTGAGAAATCAAATAAGTTCCTAACCAACCTAGCTGACAACTTTGTTGTCCAAAAGGTAGAGGGTGAAACTAGAGGGACAGCCATACTGGACTTACTAGTCCTTACTGAGCCCTAATGTTGCTAGAAAAAACTTGCTTCCATCCATATTTTCCATACCGTGCATAATTTTATATCTTTCTATCATGTTATCTATCTTTGTTTCAAATGCAAAAGCCCTGGATGCTACACATAGTCCTCGATTTACAATACAATTGAGCCAAAAATTTCTCTCGCTAAGCGAGACAGCTGTTAAGTGTGTGTTGCCCCATTTTATGACCTTTCTTGTCACAATTCTTAAGTAAATCACAGCAGCTGTTAAGTTAGTAACACGTCTGTTAAGTGAATCTGGCTTCCCCATTGACTTTCAGAAGGTTGCAATAAAGTGATCACATGACCCCAGGACACTGCAACCGTCGTAAATACATACCAGCTGCCAAGTGTCCAAATTTTCATCATGTGACCATGGAAATGCTGCAATGATTGAAAGTGTGAAAACTGATCCTAAGTCACTTTTTTTCATTGCCTTTGAAACTTTGAACAATCACTAAATTTTGTAAATAATACAGGACTGCTGCTTTTACTTTTCTCTCATGGAATTGTCTTGACCATTATAATCACTGGCATCTCTTTGACTTTCTTTAAAGTAGTTTAATCTAAAAATTGGACCAGAAGCTGTTCTGTCACTGAGGAGACTAGGAAAAAAAAACTGATCAAGGGCCATCTAGGAGTTTGGTCAAGCAGATAGATTTTCCTGTTGTAACCTAATTCTGAGCAGATTACACAACATTTTATCTAAAAGGAAGCAGATTCTATTTTAATTGGTGGCAGGTATAACAGCATTGGATTTAGCTCTGAAGAGCCTTCAGGTGCAAACCTTTGAATCACTTTTCCACCCAGAAATTTTTACTTTATTCAAAGTAGGTTAAAATACAAAACATGAAAATATTTTAAAAAGAGCAAAAGAATAAAAAAAAATACAACAATAAGACATTAAAAAGTAAAAGTGTCTTTAAAAAAAGCAAAGACTAACATATATATACATATTCTTTTTCTTTTTTAAAGACACCTTTGAATCAGCTTCCACAGATACAACAATGATGGTAATACACTAATTTTTCTCCAAGAAATTCAGTTTGATAGTGACACATCTTCAGTTGGCATTCACAAAAATAATTACCTTTAATACTGGATGCACACATTCTGATTTTGTCCTCTTTACTGTGTTATGAAACTTGTGCTGTTGTTTGCATGTGTATGTTGGCAGTGTTCTTTCTGTGTTCTAGAAAGAAACTGCTATGATTCTGTGCTTAAACTTTATAATCCATCAAATAATTTATATGACATTTGCAATCTGAATATACATATAGTAAAATGGCAATAGTCATTGGCCAGTAAATAATTGTGTACTGTAGAAAATAACTTTAACAGATAAATCTCCTAAATAATATTTATAGTTCTAGTTACTTAAAGGACATGCTATGTTCTTATGTTAGACTTTGTAAAATGACAGGTTTAGAATATTAAGGTAATAATATAATAAATTAATATTATAATAATATTATAACTTTTCAATAAATGTATTTTCAGTAAGTTGCAGATTTTCACTTAAAACCTTCAATGCATCTAGTGCACTTTTTGCCCACTGCTTCAAAATCATTTTTACAACTCTGCAGTTTTGGATTAAAATAAGCTTTTTATTAGTTACTTTTCTGAGATCCTTCAGAAAAGGACAGTGCTATAGCTTAGGAGTCATAAGAAGTCAAGTAATCATATTTGTCAGCCACTTCCTGTGCAGTTGAAAAAAAAAATCACATTTGAACTGCAAGATACCTTAGTCCAAATCATGACCTCATAATGCTGTTGTGGAAAAGGTTATTCATTCTCTGTGAGTTTATAGTTACATAAACTGACAGAATTCTGTGCATCTGAGTTGGTGACATGCTTCTCCTCCACCCAATGCCACTTATCAGAAATCTAGGCAGTGAATCTCCCACTGGAGAAAACTGTTGGGGAAATACCAACAGGAAGACTGAGCTCTTTGGAATGTGGCCTTTCTTTTAGCATAAAAATACTTTCCTCTTGAACACAGTACTTAAGATTTTAATCAGTTCACATTTTAGTAGTTTCACAACAAAACAGTTAAAGCAGATTTACCCCGTAGATACACCTTACCCTTTCTTCCTTTTCCCATGTGCTTTTTCAGTAAATTTTAAATGCCTTCCATACCTGTGATTACTCTTCTTTTCTTTCAGATCCAATAAGATTTTGAAATGTCCTTTATATTTGACTGGATTTACAGTGGCTTCAGTAGTGTACTGCAATTTTTAGGTAAGATATCCACAGTTCCATTCCAATGTTATAATTTACATTCATGGAAGGTTCTTTCTGATTTTTTTTACACAGTGCTGGTTAGACAACTTCATTTAAGTTGATGCAGATTGACTGATATTTCTTATTTATTGTTTTAGACATGCTAAAGGATACACACATAAAACACTTACAATTCTTTTCTCTGTCTCAGCCTAAAGAATTAACTCTAGTAACAGTAAATGATATTAAAATACATGAAAAAGCAAAGCTAACAGTTTGAGCTATTTGCAATGTTACTTTTAATCTATAAGTATTTGGCAATTCGGCTTTTGAGTCTATCATAAAGAACAGACCTTCACTTTATTTAGCATAAAAATACTTCTCTCTCCTCAACCTCTTCCATTACTAATCTTGATCTATACCCCCCAGTAGTCCATCAATGTTAGTCCCTATTGCTGGTTTAATTTTTCTTTACATTTTGATGTGGCATGCCGGCTACTTTTTCCAAAGTATCTTTTTCCTTTTACCCTCGTATTCAGATTGTTGGGTTAATACATAAGCCTCCTTCTGGAAATTTCAATGAAGTGAGTCACAAACATGCAAAACTGTTAAACAGTATCATGAGGGATATTCCCTACTTTTGCTTTGTGAGTAATAAGGTTCTGGTAAACTGATTGAGGCAAGAGTTCTCAATTGGTGAGTTGTGACCCTCCAAGCAAGGGGTCATGTCCAAATCAGAGGGACTTGGCCATTTAAAAACAAAGTTGTGACCAGGTTTGCAGAGGCACAGCTTTGAGTGTTGTCAAAACTCACTCTGGTCTTTGGTCCCTGTTTGCCTGTGTAAGCTTGCAAAGTTTGAGAATCCATGTGATACACAGGTAAATAAAAAGCAAGACTTCAAACTTTACCCCAATGAAATAATTTTATATATGGGCAGGGGTGCATCAGTTTGTTTATCATGTTTTAGGCCTAATGCATGATTTGACTTGGTTGATGGTGGACCCCTTGGATTAAAGAGTGGGGTGAAAGAGAGAGACAAAATATATCTGGTAGATAATGTGAGTTGAAGTAGCTTGGCAGCCTATAAATCTGGCAGTGCCTTTCAGGGACTTGTGCAGTGAGTCTAACTATCACATAAGTGGCTAGCAAGTAGCTACCTGCTTGCATGATGGTCAGATTCACTGCATGACTCTCTGAAGGGCACTGCCAGATAAACTGATTTTATCTTTCAGTGTCCACATTTGAGGGTTAAAAAAAAGTTAATAGGGCAGTTGTGGGAGGATCATCAATGTCTTGCCCTTTTACTGATGTGTGATTATTGTACACTTGTACACAAGTGGAGCTTCAATCAATCACCCTGCCTTCAAAGAGACTTTCTTGACAGATATCTCTGCCCAGACATTGCTTTTCTGTACTCCCAAAAACCCTTAAACCGGAGATAACAGTAGAGTCTTCAAGAAAGCTAAAATGTTGCGTTTCCGTTCTTACTTCACAGAATCATTGAATAGTGACTGGTTACTGTTTTAAGACTGATTTTCAAGCCTCTGTACAGTTGGCTCAGGAATTCTGGCAGTTGAAGTCCTCAAGTCATAAAAGGTCCATCGTTCCCCACCCCTGATTTAAATAATCAACATGAAGTAGAAGAAACATGGTTGGCGTTTTGGTTTTTGAAGGCTTAAGCATTGACCAGTCATATTTTAAGCAGCATCTTCCAGAACAGTGTCTGATTATTTGCTTTTAAATTCTAGGAGCACATGGTGCTATACAGAATGCCTAGGTTTCATCAAAAGGGTTTCTTATGCCATTCTGGTGTGAGCTGAGAAAATTAATTCCTGTTCACCAAACAGTCTCATTCTTTTTCAGGATTATACAAGAAAACAGGTAAACTAGTATTCCTTGGATTGGATAATGCTGGAAAAACGACTCTCTTGCACATGCTTAAAGATGACAGACTGGGACAACATGTCCCCACATTACATCCCAGTAAGTCAATGTTTCTTTTTCAGTTTTGATGTATACTTAACAGTGCTTTAAAGCTGGTGTATATTTTGTTCATTTTTATGCCACCGAAAAGCTTATGGGGAAGGGTATGAATTAAAATAGGTAGTAGCAGTTGCTTGCTTGCTTTCTCTTTTTTCTCTCTTTCTTTTTCTTTTTACTGCTGATAATAAAAAAATATTTTTATTTATGACAATTTCAAATACAAATTTTATGTGTGAAAGAAATCAAATAGGTGGGGGTTTATTAAATGTATGCTGCCACTTCTTATATAAGCACTCAAAAGTATCTTACAACAATAAAAACAAACTGTACAAATGTAAAACTGTAAATATAGTACAATAAAAATTAGTCAAACATTAAAAACTTAATGAAGGAGTTGGAACAGTCATTTTTTTTTTTCAATTTTCCCTGATTTGGCCCTGTAATGACATAGGCCATTAACCAACCCAGTATGTTAGGGTTTGAGGATTAACCCCTAGAAGAGTATTGCAGCAGTAGTCAAGCCAGGCAACCAAAGGAGAGCGGAAGGGCCCCAGAGTATACACACACTGAACACAAACACTGTTTGTAGTTTAAATAGTTTTTAATCCAGTTAGAGTTTAAGCATTGTCATTCAGTCCATTAAGTCATTCACAGTATTTCCATCCAGTAAGACTCACTATTATAGTCCAAGTTAAGAGTCCTTGCAATATCTTTATCAGCCGATAAAGATATCTTCTCCTCCTCCGGTTTCACTCTCCAGAGAAACAAACGCTGGATATTCAGTAGAATTACGCAGTAAATCAGCAAACAGTAGCAAACAATAACAGTTCAGTCACAGGCACTCACAGTCAGTAATCACAGTTAGTCGCAGCAGCACACAGTTACAGTAGCACACAGTTACAGCCAGACAGCTTTCCAGCTTCTAATGCTTCCTTATATTGTAACTTCTAACCGCACCCTTAATCGGCTAATTGCCTGCTGCATTGTGCTTAAAGTGATAAGCACTTAAACCATGATATCTAAGTTTTATATATTTATTCACCCAAACCATATTTGGTATCAATGTTATACCTAACACAGTACTTAGCTGCTTTCAGAAATTCAAGGGAAGGATTTACTGAACGATACTTCTTCTTTTAAAATAAATATATATATTTGATGTTTCTATAGCTTCTGAAGAGCTGACAATTGCTGGTATGACGTTTACAACTTTTGATCTAGGAGGACATGCTCAAGGTAAGAGAAGCAAACAGGCAGAATCTTCACCGTGGTATCTAAATGATGTTAGTTTAATCTTTGTTTGCTGTATTCCAAGGTGATCATACTACAACTTTTTTTCCAGTTCTGAAAATCTTTTTTTAATATTGTGAGTATTTGATTTTAAATTTGTTGTGTAGACATTGTTCTGATACTTTTTTTCTCATAATAAATGCACATATTAAGCGTAATTTTTTGTATCCTTTCCATGGGTGAAGGCAACTCAAATGTTGTATCAATGCACCTTAATTGTTCTAATACTTTCCAGTCAAATTTTAGCACTTCATTTTTATTTCTAATAATAATAGAAAGTACGATTACAATTGTTTCATGCTTTTAATAGGATAAAATTATGCCCACCTTTGTTTTTTATTACATTTGAGATAAAAGAAATTATTATAGGATTTGCTCTGCTGTTGAATATTAGAGTAACTTAGTCCTCTTGTCATTCTTGCTATGTATTTATATATTTATCAGCTTTGACTTTGGCTATCCAGTGATTTCAAAATAGTGTTATCTAGAGTACATGAAATGCTGCTCTGAAATGGTGTGTTATTTAACTTTTTTATAAGATGTATTAGTAATACAGATAGTCCTCGACTTACAACAGTTCATTTAGTGACCGTTCAAAGTTACAATGGCACTGAAAAATGTGACTAATGACCATTTTTCACAGTCATGACCTTTGCAGCATCTTCATGATCATGTGATCAAAATTCAGATGCTTGACAACTGGTTCATATTTATGATCATTGATGTGTCCCAAATTCATATGATCATTTTTTGCAGCCTTCTGACAAACAAAGTTAATGTGGAAGCCAGATTCCCTTAACAACAGGGAAACTTATCAACTGCAGTGATTCACTTAAGAACTGTAGCAAGAAAGGTCATAAAATGGGACAAAGCTCCCTTAACAAATGTTTCACTTAACATCAGAAATTTGAGGCTCAATTGTGGTTGTAAGTCAAGGACTACCTGTAGTTATTGGACATTTTAAAAAAAATCCACTTCAAAATATAATGTTTTCAAAAGCTGTTAATATTACATGGTAATTCAACAATAAATCCACAAGAAACTGTTTCTCTCAATATAAATGATATGGTTTTCAGTTTTAAACCAAGCACACACAAAAAAACCACTTTCAAAAACCTTTTCACACAAAGATCCAAATGCCCTTTTAAAAAGTTTATCCAACCAAATGGAAAGGCTACTGTCACAGTGCTTGACTTACATTCATTTGTTTACTGACTCTTCAAAGTTACAACATTGAAAATGACATACAACGGATCCTTGTACTTACAGTATGACCATCACGGCATCCCTATGGTCGCATGATCAACATTTGAGCACTTGACAACTGGCATGTATTTACAATGGCCTCAGTCCCGGGGTCATGTGATCACCAATTGTAACCTTTCCAGCTGGCTTCCAACAAGGAAAGTCAACGGGAGAAGTCATTTTCACTTAACAACTGCATGAGTCATTTAACAAATACAGTGATTTGCTTAACAACTGTGAGAAGAAAGGTTGTAAAATCTGGCCTGACTCATTTAACAACCAGCTTGCTTAGCAATGAAAATTCTAAGTCCCAATTATGGTCATAGGTCAAGGACTACCTGTAGCATCTATGAATAGAGTAACAAGAGTTGCAGGCAATTTCCTGTTGCAGTCTCTTTATAACCCTCTTTTATTAGCTCGCAGGGTTTGGAAAAACTACCTGCCTGCCATCAACGGCATTGTCTTTCTGGTGGACTGTGCAGATCATGAAAGATTGGCTGAAGCTAAGCAAGAACTTGATGTGAGTTTACAGTATATATATTTGGCACTTGGTAAATCCAGTTGAAAAGCCCAATATTGTGATGACTGGTGGGAAAGCAACAAAACTTTTAAGATACAATATTTGTGTGGATCTGTTGTGTCATTGTGGGAAAGACCAGTTACAGTTGTCCTTTACTTTTCCTTAAATCTAGGTTCGTAAAGTAAGAACTATCAAAAGTCACAAACCAGGAGGCCCACAATTTGCCCAATCAGAATTGTGTCCTTGGGTAGGATGCTTCTCCCTATTAAAGAATGCATTCAACCAGCAGAAGATGTTCAAGGCCCATAATGTATATTCTATATCTATTTTCTAGAGCAGTGTCCCGCAATATTTTGGGCACCAGGGACCAGTTCTGTGGAGAAAAGATTTTCCGCAGACCAGAGTGAACATGGTTTTGTGTGCTGCCTGCATCTTGCGGATGGGGCTTTGCTCTTTGCACAGCCCGGTTGCATGCATGCCATGGACTGGTGCCAGTTCATAGACCAGGGGTTGGGGACCCCTATTCTAGAGGAACCTTCACCATGTTTCTTATATCATAGTATTACTGCAAAGTAATATGCAGTGCAAGTTCAATTTTTCATCTATTTGCAAGCTATTATAGGAAAACATTGAAGAGCATTATATGTTTCATAACATAAATAAATGGACTTAAAAGAACTTTCATTAAAATGGAATATTTATGGGGGGGGGGGAAATTAGCAACAGTTCATCTCAATCTCCAAATCTTAATTGTGATTCCTAACTAGTTACCCTCTCATAATTTTAATATAGCTACCATTTCTTATCATATACAAGTTATTATGTTATAATCTGAATTGAGTTAAAATGATATTAAATGTCTTAGAAAATTTGATGTCCAATATTGCCCATCCTTTCAAATACATTTTGGGGGGAAGTCCAATATACCCCGAATACAGTTTTTGATGAATCAACTTCAATCTTAGCTTGGCTGATACTATTTTAACATTTTAAGATAGGAATCCATTGATGAGCCTTTATTATATATCATATTTGATCCTTATTTAATGTTATGAAGTAGAATCACATGGAAGAAAGCCATTTTGTATACAGGGTATCTGACTCTTCCTTCTCATCTTAATGTATCAAGATGTTCAAGAGATCTGGAAGTCAGTCAGTATAGATACTTTCAAGTACCTATACTTCAGAAGGTCTCTTCAGAAGTTTCTCCTTGTGTTTGATGTCCTTCTATTTTGTACTGGTTGTATGGAACCTAAAATATTGTACATTTCTTCCTTTCCTCTTAGGCATTAATGACAGATGAAACTGTTGCTAATGTGCCTATCCTAATTCTTGGCAACAAGATTGACAGACCAGAAGCCATCAGTGAAGAGAGGTTACGAGAAATGTTTGGTTTGTATGGCCAGACAACAGGAAAGGTATAGTGCCTTTTTCCATAACATTAAACTCTGGGATTTAGTGTGTTAGCTATATTTTTCCTCATGTATTTCTGAGCTCTGCTTTACTTCTAGCTTGTCCAAAATTCTGTAACAATTCTATATTTCTGCACAGTTTAATAATATTTCAGGAATCCAGTTGTAACAAGTTTTTTGGAATTTTTTTCTATTTCATTATCTAATTGAGTTATTTACAATAAAAGTGAATTTCTCCTTTTTTCCCCCTTGTAAAACTACATATTGCCTACCTAGAAAGTAAAGCCAAACTATTTCTGTCCAGGAATAGTTATACATAGAATATAGAATATTCTTTAGTGGCCAAGAATGGTTGGACAATAGATAAAAAGAGCTACAAGAGTTAAAGGGGGTTAGCACTATCAAATAATACTGTTGAGCATTGTCTTCCTGTAAAGAAATCTCCATCAAGAATTCTTGACTGAATCTTTTTTTAATTTCAGGGGAATGCCTCGGTGAAGGAATTGAATACTCGGCCCTTAGAAGTGTTCATGTGCAGTGTGTTAAAGAGACAAGGTTATGGGGAAGGATTTCGCTGGATGGCACAATATATTGATTAATGCCAAATTCACATTACTACTCACTATCCAAACCTGCTCATGTTCTGATCAATCAGTGTACATAACTTGAACTTAATAGATTTTGGTTACAAAAGCATATTTTTTTTATTGTATCAATTGTGTTAAATTTTAAGCGTAAAGACTGAAAACAGATTTTAAGCAAGTTTGTCAATTTGGATCTTGTAACATTAGTCTCTAGGCCTATCAAACCACCTTCTTTTTGGATTAATTTATATGTTGTCTCATCCATTTTTGTTTTTAGCTTTCCCACACAGTATGTTTTTTGATGCACTTTTTAACAGCTCAACCCTACGGACTTGTTGGTCCTATTTAATGCTCATCATGTTAAATTTTTAAATATTTTTTTCAGAACCAATTTTATAAATGTAAAGTGAATAACAATTCCTCAAAGGATAGTAATGAATAAGCTTTATGAATAATTGCATGATGCCTTACAGTTTTCAATAATATACTTTTCTTATGCAACGTCATGCAATAAAACTAAATCCCATTTTGTGACATCTTTAATGGGGACATGTTTCATTTTAATGTGTCAATCTAGTAAATATGTTTTAAAATGTGAATCTGTGGGGTAGTTTTCTAAAATGCAGTATAATTTCCATGTACTGTAGACTTTTTATATTATTTATTTGATTACCTTTACACTGGGAATGAATCACACTAACGTTATCCATGCTTGTGGATGTAAATGTTCGGTCACTGTTTTTTACGTTGTACAGAAAGAAGCACTACTGTATGGTCTCGTTGTGTAGTGCATCATGTAGTGCTAGTTGAGTACCTAAGTGCAGCTTTTTAGGAAACCATTGGGTTGGTACTTCAAATGCACATTTAGAAGCCTGGCTCTGTGTGAATTATGTTACTGGATTGAGTACGGTGTAACTTACCCACTGCTCTGAGCATTTGTCTTTCCTGTCACAACATTCATACAACCTGTCAAATGTTGCAAAAGGTGACTGATTGCCATTCAAATGATACAGAGAACAGGTCAGTACTTTGTTGCCATCCTTGGCTACGGAAATGGGATTTTATTTTTTATTTTCTCTGAACTGCATATCTGTTAATAAACTGAGAGTGGTCATTCAGAGAAGTATTTGTATATCGACTTCAAGTTTTTTTATTTAGCACTGCCACAAAGTTCTACAATTTGATTTCAACCCTCCCACTCAAAATGGACTTAGGAAATGAAAAAAAAATACTCTTGTTCTAAGAATCTTAGTGTCCTTGCATGTAATTTCCTTCAGTTGAGAAGCCAAGTGTTCAGATGGCACAGGGAGCCCTCTATGGATGCTGTTTGAAACTGCTTTCCTTTCCTTCTCCCTTCAGTCCAGATGCTGATTAAGATTCATATGCTAGATTTAAAAGTGAATGACAGAAGACCTCATGTAGATATGAATTGTTAGACTGCCTTGTGTAAAGCCCCAGAGGTAGAGTTTTTGAAGAACTATAATTATTTTTATTATATATACTTATTATCAGGAAATAAGCTTTTCACTGATATGTACCCTTATGCATTTTCAGAAAAACTGGAAATGAGAGTGTAAAGGACGACGTTGATATGGTCTGTGGTGTCTTGCTAAGTTATAGTACAATACAGGTAGTCCTCAATTGATGACCATTCACTTAACAGACATTCAAAGGTACAATGGCACTGAAAAAAAGTAACTTACAACCAGTCCTCAAACTTATAACCCTTGTAGAGTTCCCATACTCACATGATCAAAATTCAGGCGTTTCTCAACCAGCATGTATTTACAATTGTTGAGTATCCTGGAGGTCACAAGATCATTGTTTAGGGGGTTTCTGACGAACAAAGTCAATGGAGGAAGCCAGATTTGCTTAAAGAACTATGGTGAGTCACTTCATGAAAATGACAAAAAGGGTTCTAAACTTACTTAACTGCATCACTTAGCAATGGTTCCACCCCAAATGTGATCTACCTGCATACAAATACAACATTTAAAGATTTGTTCAAGTATACAGTTAACCTTAAGAAGGCAATTATATTTTTGGGAAGATACTAAACCTCTACACACACACACACACACACACACACACACTAGATTAAACTTTATAGTTCTGATAAAGGAGATCTTGACCATTAAATCAATTAGTTTATACTGCCTGTAGCTCTCATTCTGCATGTTGTTGATCTTTTCTTCTATAGCTTTGATCAAAGCAAGCATTTTTGTTTTTCTCCCCTTTCATTCAAAATGCTTTTAGAACCTGAAGACATCTTTTTCAAGACATTTCATAAAATTAGAATGATCAGCATTAGCGGGAACTAGTATGTTGATTTTAGTTGTTGCAAAGGAATTAGAAAAATGGTTTGCCCCTGCTGGTATCTGGAAATGTTATCTTCCTTGATTCTTCATTTTAAATGTAACACTTCCAGACCTATAAAAGAAGGGCAGAATAGAATAGAATAGAACAGAACAGAACAGAACAGAATAGAATAGAATAGTTCTTTCTGTATTTGATCTTCTCTAGCCATCTCAATCTTTTTGTTACCCTGTTAGTATTAATGTAGGACTTGAGTTCATACAGCTTATTTTAATGTGTTCTCATGTGTTCCTGTAAGGAAGCCTTTTCCTAGAATAAAATAATGTGCGGCTAAAATCCTTTGGATGCAACATAAAATACATTTGTAGAATGGTTAGCCATCGCTATTAATTGGATTTCTCCTCTGCCAGTGAATCTGGCAGGTTTTCCAACTCTACATTTTTAAATTCATCCTTGTTAGATTTTATTTTTATTTTAATATTTATAATGGTTATCTCATAAATAAAAAGGTACAAAACAGTGAAAATCGCTTTGCAACTAGCTGGATCAGATATTATAGCAATTTGTTTTCCAAATACGAATTGTAAATAACAACTGTTTATTTCTCATCTTTTGCTCTGGAATTCAATCACTGCTGTTGCCTTGGAAGACTTTCAAAGCTAAGTGGGTAGTTGCTGTATAACGTGGCAAGCAAATACAGCAACTCAAGATGGTCAACCACTAACCAAACTGACAGGGAGTGGAAGGTTTGCTATCTTGCAGTGGTAAAAGAAACTAGAGGTAGTCTTTGACTTATGAACACAATTGAGAACAGAATTTCTATTACTAAGCAAGTAAGTCACACCCAATTTTGTTACCATTTTTGCCATGGCTATTAAGCAAAACATTGCAGTTATTAAGTAAATCATGAGGTTGTTAAATAATCCAACTACATGACTGACTGCTTATATGATTGGTCACAAATGACAATCAACCCCAGGTTGCCGCAACTGTCATAAATACATGCTGGTTGCCAAGCATCCACATTTTGATTATGTGACTGTGGGGATGCTGCAATGGTCATAAGTGTGAGGACTGATTGTAATTTACTATTTCCACTGCCATTGTAACTTTGAATGATCGCTAAATGAATGGTTGTAAGTTGAGAACTACCTGTACTCCACGAGACACATTACTGACACATTACTGACACGACAGTAATGCCCTACTGGACTTCTAAAATAAAAAATGGGGAAGAGGCAATATATGTTAAGAATTCTAAATGAAAATGCTGATACTTTCAGAAAAATAATTTAGTGTGTGAAAAACATGCTTATTGTTTGTTTCTCATCCCATTTTCAAAACTGCTTAAGACAAGGGAAACTTTTATATAGAGAGATACCTCTCCTTAAAGGAAACTACATGAATTCCACACACAGTGAAGTCATATGCACGCAGGACAGACATCATTATTGTGGTTTATGAAATAAACACATTAATCATCATCAGAATTCATACAGTTTCTTCCATTAAGCTTTATGTAGAAGTAATTTAAGTTGCAGTTTAAACATCTTACTATGTTTCAGGCAAGTGCATAATGCTAATCTTTTTCTGTTTTAATCCCTCGGCTAGAATAGTATTTATTATCAGTATTTACCAAAAAGGAAATAGATACAAATATACAAAATGACTTTTTCTATGACTTAAATGGGAATTGCTTCTGTGATATGAAGAAATCCTCCCCTCGCCTTCCCACTTCTTTCAACATGGAACAATTTCAGTCAATTTAAAAGTTATGTATTTAATTTCAGGGAATAATTCCCAAAATTGTTCACTCGTTAATTCTGTGGGGTGTGTGTGTGTGTGTGCAACAATGTTTCCCCCATTGAGGGGGTGGTTTGTTAAATAGCTTTCATTTAAAGGACAGCAACCGTGTGCTGAAAAAATAAAATTAACTAATAAAATGCTCATATGAAATATGCCTAACTTAGTATGTATTACTAGAATTTCATCTTTCCTCTGCTTGCCGGAGCTTGTTTTTGAGACAAAGCAAAAAAAACATGGTGCAATTATTGATTTAAATTTTGATTGCAGCATACTGTGGTATTTAATTATGCCCTAATACCAGCCTTGGATCTAGATGTAATAGGCAGAAAATAACTGGTTGGCAAAAGAATACATATATTCGATCCTTATCTTTAAAAATCAGGCATATGTGCATTATCACTTATTTGTGTGTCAACTCTAAGTGTCCATATGAAGTTCAAGAAAGCTGAACCCAAGTCTTTTGGCAACCTTTGGCATAGACAGAATCACTTTGGACCAAAGGGAGGGCTTCAAGCTACCTTGGCGATTTTCAAAAGCAGTAAAAACATTTGTTCAAATGCTAGGGAAGAGTTTAGCCTGTTTACTCTTTATTTTAAGATTATGAAGCTGATATCTCTCCATGTGACAGTAGCATCAGATCTATTTAGAGGATTGTAAACATGAAATCATCCAGAGAGATTTATTTGATTCTTGACCTGACCTTATCCAACTGTTAAAGAGACTGGCTTCTACAAAGACGTGACAAACTATGGGAAAGCAGCATCTCAACCCCCAAGAATAAGCTGCCTACCTTCCTCTGATCTATTTTGCTGTGTTTTTTTTTACTGTCAGGACTTTTGAGATGGGTAATATATGTACTTCTAATTTAAATGGACAAGAATCCAGGCTAAAGAGCAGCATTCCTAAGGGAGGACAGTTGGCCTTTTCCCAGAATTTTCCTTTTCTCTTCTTAACAAACCCATATATTTGGCTATATCCATCTATACCACAAACTATTACTCCTTCAACTAAGAATAACAGTAGCTTTGCGGGATCAAGCCGAAGTCTTTTTAATCCAGTATTTTGCTTCTCATAGCAATCAACCAGATGTCCCAATGCTCACAGGCATCAGTTGGAACTATGCATCCCCAGCTGGTTTTTTTTCTCTGCAACTAGAGTTTAGGGGTCACATAAAGTCTTCAAGGCCTTTGAGAACTCATGACCACCATAAATTTCTCCACCACCTTTTAAAGCCACCTAAGTTAATGGCCATCACCATGACCTGTGGTAATAAATTCTACAAATTATCTCCTGCATCAAAAAGTACTTTCTTTTCTGTATTGTAGATCTTCCAAAACATTTATTTAATATTCTGTGGTTTTAAATTTCTGACAGAAAGGAAAGAAACTTCCTGCTCATTTTGTGCAACTTAGGCATGATTTTGTATACTTTGATGTTTTCATCTACTCATCTTTTATCCAAGTTAAAGAATTTCAAACATTTCTATCTTCTCATATTAAAGGTATTTGAGCCCTCTGATCATTTTAGTTGTTCCATTATGCTTCCCCCCCCCGACCTTCCTTTTTTCCTTTTTCAAAGATTTCTAATAATTCTTAATATAGAATTGGTTTTATATATACACACGCACACGCACACACACATACATATACAAATATTTTTCACAAAATAATAAGACATATAAAAAGAAATAGAAAGAAAAAGGAAAGAAAGAAAAACAAGGAAGTACAAGAAACAACAAAGAAAAAATTAAAGTTCAGTAGATGAATGACTTCCAACCTTTCCAACAAATAATTACAAACTTATTGTTCCTCCTTCCTTTTAGACATAGCACAAGTCCCTTTAGTGCTTTATTTAATCCACATCTTATTCTTCAAATGTATAAATCATTTTTTTCTTCTTTCAGCAAAACTCCCTATAAAGTTTCCAGTCTTTCAGTAAAGTTTTGGTTCTTTCTCTCTCTTACCAAATAGATGTTTTGCCATTTCTGCAAATGCTGACATTTTTGTAATCCATTCCTCTACTGTGGAGATTTCATTATTCTTCCATAGTTGTACATCTTAGTATAGAATTTGTTTGACTTACAGCTTTTGCGTACTAAGTCAACATCTTCACTGAGGGATCCCCTATGACTCTTAAGATATTTTTTCTGATTTATTAAACAGACCCCCATCAGCTTTGATTACCTCATCATGCATCACATTAGACTTCCTTTTTTTATAATTTTTTTTTATTTTTAAACAAACATACACAGACAAAACATAAAAACATAAAGCCATATTCCAATTACATACATATAGTGTGTCGGTTGGTTACAAATTTTTTGTGCGTCTTCTCCATAGTCCTCACGATTGTATATATTCTCATATTATCAAATAGATATTTCTAAATACATTTATTATCATTGTTAATCAATCATTTGACTATACTGTTATTCATTCATATACTTTAGACTTTCTTAAACAACCTAATTTGCATTTAAAAAAAAAAACTCGCCCAGTTTAGAGAGATCTTTTTGGAGCCCCGTGGCTTTTGGTTTACAGTTTTATGTAATCTGCAACCTTGGTCACCTGTTAACCTTTTGGTTAGGATCATTTATATGTGTTAAAAAGCATTTTGCTTTTTGCACAAAGAAGTGTTTTATTTCTGCTGCCTGTCAACAAATTAGCAATCCATAAAATGATAGACCCTGGGGCATATATTTCAGTTGGCAAGTTCCATTGGAGGAAGGCTCTGAAGATGACAAATATAATAGACCAATTTATCTAGACACTTTTTTTTCCAATTCTAGACAGGCCTTGTTTTCAATGCCATGATTCTCTAAGGAAACCATTCTGGGGTGAAGAGGCCAAACTTTTGAAAGTGGCATTTCGCAAATGGTATTCTTAAACCATTAAAAAAGGGAACCTTAGTACTCTGCTATACTAAATTCAACCTGAACATAATGGTGAAAAATATCCTTTTAGTGATATGATTTTCATGATAAAGTGTCAACTTCCAAGTGACAAGTCTCTTAGCCTGTGCAATGGCAAGGAATAACCTAAGATCAAAAGAAGATAAATTGAAGTCACTAGTGGATGTCCACCTTAAGCAGCACTTCTTTGTGTCTGTTTCCCTCCAGAAATCTGAGCTTATCATCCCGTAATTTCTTATCAATCTCTGTACAGGTCTACACCAGGGGTATCAAACTGGATTTCTTCGAGGGCTGCATCAGCATTGCAGTTCTTCTCTGCGGGCCAGGCCAGGGGGACGGAATGGACACCACCTGCAGCACCTGCCAGCCAAAATGGCCCCTGTGCCCCATTTTCAGCCTGGACAACCTCCTACAGCACCCTGCCAACCAAAACAGGGCACGAGGGTGCCTCGTGTGGCTCCCCCGCACCCTATTTTTGGCCTGGATGGCCTCCTGCAGCACCTTGCCAGCGAAAATGGGACACGGGCCTCACGGGCCCCACCCCTCAATCTCGTTTTGGCTGCCAGAGGCACCACGGGCCAGTTCTTTACTATTTCCAGGCTGGCCCCGCAGGCCTTAAGTTTGACAACCCTGGTCTACACTATTAAACAAAATATTTGGACAGATCCATGTCGGGAAAGGTTGACCCAAACAAGAGATAATGAAATCTATCCTAATAGAATGGCCAAAATGACAAAGTTACAGAACTGTACTGTTTACGGATGCAGGAAGACAACGGGACAGGGTTTGGGTTATGAGAAGTGAGCTACTGTGCTTTACAAACCATAATTTATGGCTTAGTGCAATAGGTGAACACAGTCAACTTGGGTTTATTTATTAGACCTTGGCTAAGCAAACCTTGAGTTTGTGTGATGTATGAACCAAGTGGTATCTATGAATCAGGCAGGTGGTATCTATGAACCAAGTGGTATCAATGAATCAGGCACGGGTCAGCAAAAGCCAACTGCCCACCTTGCAGCTGACTCATATTAATGCTTCCCCCTCCTTTATTTATACGTGAATGCTGTTAGTTTCCATGCTAGAAACTCTAGGTTATACACATTAAAACATATCCCATGTCAAAATGTATTCAAACAAATTAAAATGCACGGCATCTGGATCAGATGTCTTATAGCTAATGGCATCCTAAGCCATAAAGCTTCCCAGGGCTTTTTAATAACATAAGCTATTCTTATCATGAAATCTTGTCTTGAAATTGGAGATCAACAGAGAGAAATTAATCTGTGAATAAGTTGTCCCTTCAGAATAATAGTTTATTAGCACATGTACTGTACGCACCCAATAAAATATGTCTGCTAGCTTGAAAAGGGATGAAAAAAAGAGCTGCAGGCTAGTTTTTAAAAAGTGCTTTAGTAATTTGATCTTCTGAAATTCTAGTTGGCAGAATATAGAAAAGTCCAGAATCAGATGTAAGGAACCTCTGTACAAACATCTCCCCCTTTTTTACTACCCTACAACCTCTTAATTTGGGGTAGAATTGGAGTGACTGGATGGAACTGAGCATTTACTGGACAGTTGCCCTTCTGGTGTCAACATGGAGTTTGCAGCATATATTTTTTCTTTGCATCCCAGGAGAGAAACATCTGCCGCTACCTAGGATTGAACTCTCAACCTCTCAAATGAGAGGCAAGTGTTACCAACACGTCATTCAAAATCTCTGTACAAACATCAAAAGGTAGAAAACAGGAACAAGAAGGATGAGAACAGTCATTGCTGATATCAAAGCAATGTTGTTTTATGAAAAGAATATAAAAACGGTAAATATTTCATTTACTATTTTGCACAGAATTCTATCAGGTGGCTTGCTTCTAAAAAACGCGATCTAGATCTTGCAAGCAGTTACTTGTGCAATAAGTAGTTCTTATTGATTTAGCAAAGCATTTTAAAAAGGCAGGCCACTGAATTAACACAATCCTGACTGGATGTGCATGCACACACTGTATATGTGTGTGTGTGTGTGTGTGTGTGTGTGTGCACATACACACACAGAGGAGTTTAATTAAGAAGCATCCATGCATTGGAGATTTGTGCTTCTGGGTCAAATCTCCAACAATAAACAAATGGACAAAGGGGGATGAAAAGTAAAAGGATGATTTAAGGATGATATAATTCAGATAGATTTCCATGGTATTACTACATATACTGCATATTAGGCTTCCATCTGAA